CAACAAATATCAAAGTCACCACATGTCTTGGATACGCCAAGGCAAAATACATAGAAAAAATATGCGTTTTTAACATGTCATTGGATGGAACACATGAATTTTAGATTCTGTAGACAATGAAAAAACATGATTTATGAAAGTAATGTTTTGATATTTTTCCTCGTTTTGTTTTGTATTTTTTATTTATAAAAAAAAACTACTCATCTGGTGTTATTTATAAATCACTTCCAACATGTTTTATTAATATTAAAAAAATTTAAAATTCATTAATTCTGTCTTAAAATTTAATAAATTTTCAACTTTACCCTATTAAATATACATATTTTAATAATATTTTTTTCTCCAATATTCAATGGAGAGTAAAAGAGAAAATTTATAATAAAACTTTAATGAGTAGTTTATAAACAGGCAAAAAAAATCTTTTTTTTTCTACCTTATAAATAGGATTAGAGGGAGTATTCTTCTTATTAATTAACATTAACAATAACAATTCATTAATCCGTATTATAAGTGTCACCTTGGCATTAGGTTAATTAGATAAAATTTCCGTATCCCTTGCACATGTCTAAAAAAATAAATAACAGTACTGATTAAAATTAATTAATTGCATAAAAAATTAATTAGCAAGTTCTGATAATTTTTATAAAATTTTAAATTATTTTTTATTTACTTTTTTGGGATTAATTTTTTATAATTTGATTCATTAAATTTATTAATATTTGAAGGAATATTCAGTGAAAGATTAAGAGGCTATTTGAAACTGTTTTTATTTTATTGTTTCAAAAACTGGTATTTTTTAAAATATGTCCTGAGAACAAAAAATAATAAAAATAAGTATTTTTTCATCATCCTTTATTCTCCAGAATAATAATCTTAGAATATTTAAAAATTATTTTTATTTTTTTATTCTTCAAAATAATATTTTATTTTTTATTTAAAATATTTTTTAAAGATATGTTATCAGATAATTTTTTATTTTAAAAAACAAAAAAATATTTTTAAAATAAGTTGTCCAACAAGCTCAAAATTTATCAGTGTATAATATTGAAATGTTTTAGGAGGGAAAGTGAATATTGACAAGAAAAGCACTGGATGCAAAAATATCTACAGACATTTTCTGCATGGCCAATGAAAGCTGCATGGAAAAATTATTGCCCCGTGACTGTTTCAAGTTTCAAGGCAGCACCAAATTGAATTAAAAAAATTAAAATTTTCCATTTCAAGTAACAAAGTAAATAATATAATGAAGTGTATAGGGCAGAAAATTTGTCAACTTTACACTGCAGAGGTACGAAAGAAAGTGGAAAACAGGCAACTTGGTATTGAATGGAGTCAGGTGAATAATTAAAATTTAAAAGTTCAAACACTGACACTGTCTCATGGTCTCAGACACTGGCACCTCTCAACTTGGCGTTTAATAAATGGTCCCTTTATGAATTACTCATACTTATTATAATATAGTAATCTTAGAGTTCCTGATAATAAATTACTTAATTCATAAATTCATTATTTTTTTCTAAGTGCCTTGTTTGACATTCACTACTCACTAGGCGCAGTAATATATAAATTATATTCCCTTGTGACATATACTAAGCCACTGTGAATGTGCATGTGAATAACTAAAGTATTAAAGGGAGAAAAGAGAAATGTTAAAAACTGCAAAGCATTGAACCGCACGTGTGACCTGTGAGTGAAACTTTGAATTTGAATTTTTTAATACAATTATTATATAATAATGTTCAATAGTACTACTAGATCAAATTCTTGTTGAGTTTGGTTAAGAACATATTCCGTAACAAGATTTGTTACTCTGTAAAATTAAAATCATCTAACTTATTTAAAAAGAACAACGTAACTTTTACCACCATCAACGTTATTAATCATTGGTTGAATTTGAAAAAGTTATAAAATCTGAGAAGCAAGTTATGATTTGCTTGTTTGGTCATCGAGATGGGCGAGGAAAGCATTGGATACTCAGAGATGGTACGTATGGGATAATGTTGAAGCCAGATAGGTTCTGACGGTGGCACTTGTCTGCACGTGATTTGTCCAATAACTTGCTGCCACGTAGGAGCAGGCAACATAAAGATGGACTGAATGCATGAAGCACGTGGAAAGCGGTTTAGCTTGAAGGCCGAAGTTGAGCCGGTCCATCTTTGGTGCTCGGCAACTGAGGTGTTCAACCACCAAATAAAATCTGGGCCATCCAGATTTAATTCAAATGGCCCAGATTTTTTTAATTTTTAATTTATATTTATTAAAATAAAAATTTATAATTTTTTTATAAATATATTTATCATTAATTTAGATAGTATTGATCTAATTTAATATTATAACTTTTTAAAATTAACTATCTACATGTATTTTGAATAGTCATATTTGATATTAAATGTTTATTTGTAAAGTTCAAATTTAAAGTTTTTATTTTTTATTTTGATGAATAAAATATTAAAAAATAAAAAAAATATAATCTTTTAATTATAACTTTTTAAAAATATTTTTTTAAAAAATTACAAGTTAAAAATTTTAAATTTGGATGATGTAGAATATATTTGAATAGTAAATATATAAAAATATAAAAAGCTTTAATAATAAATTAGACTTTTCAAATTAAATATAGATTAAATTAGTCAAAAAATATTTATTAAAACTTTTTTATAATTTTTATTTTTAAAAACATAAAAATAAAAATATTAAATTATTTTTTTTAATTTGAACCATCTAAATTAAATATTCAGATAGTGATGAGCACCCAACATGGTTCTCAAGCTGAGCTACAGAGTTAGGTTGCATGCATCCCCATGGCTGTTTAGGTGGACTTTGGTACTTTTAAACATGGGATCCGAAACTGGGAGGGTTTTCCATTTCTTTACTTTTGTTTTCTGCTTACTTTCCAATTATGATCACTGATATCATTTTATTAGATGAATTTGTTTTAATCATAAGAAAAATTCAAAGACCTTACTTTTAAAGTTGGTAATATAAATCAACTCATAACCTATGGGTTGGCCCATAATGGGTTGTAGGTTTGGCGGGACGGGTTGGTATGGCCCGTACTTTATGCGAGTTGAATTTTGCCAACCTGCACATAAAAAGGTTTTTTTAAATGATTTTTAAAATTTTTAAAAATTATAAATTTACTTCTTTTTAATTTTTTTTTCATGGTAAACAAAATGATATATTTCCCCTAAAAATTAATTATATAAATAACAATAAAATATTTTTAATTAAAACATACTTATATCATTACTTAAATATAAACTAATTTAATTTTGTGATCCTTTCATTTTCTATTTTTTACATGACCGATTAGTATTATACATATATGAATTAATAGAAATGCTTTGTTTATCTCTTTTTTCTTTATCCTATTTTGGCATTTTTGTTACAAAATTGATGCCCCAATTTAAAATATTAATTTTTTTAAAGAAAATAATGATGATTTAAACTCTAATTGTTAGATTACTATTCATAATACATTCAGTTTATACCACATAAATGTTCTAATATCTCTTTATCTATTTTTTTCCTCTTATATTCAAATTAAGATAATAATATAATATATGGTTAGCACTTCATAAATATGTTTAATTTTTTAAATAAAAAGGACAACTAAACTTTTTTTTATTTGCTAGCTTTATAGCACTATTATAAAAACAAGCTAGTTTAAATAAATTATTATATGAATAAAGCAGAGTATAATAAAATATTTTATTCAATCTTATCTTAATCACATTCAAATTATATTATATCACTACTTAAATATATAAACAGTGTTTTTTATTATTTTCTACCTTAATTTAAATTTGAATTAATTAAATGTAAAAGTATTCATGCATCCTTACTTTGAATGCATTATTTTAAACTCAATTTTTTATTTTTTATATTTTATCTATTTTTTTTTAAAAAAATATAACTGGGCCAACTCATAAATTAACCTGTTACGGGTTCAAGATATGCAAAATGGGCCAAAATCACCTTGCATATAATTGAATTAATTTTTTTAACCCAACCTATAACTTTTTTGCAAGTTGAGCCTACAGGCCCAACCCATATTACTGACACTACTTATTTCTCTGACTTTGATCATTTCCTAAAATCCAATCCTAATTGATAACTAGAAAGCTCGGAATATAAATTAATTGAGCACACCAAAAAACTCAAAATTGTTATAAAAAATCAAGTTTTTTAAATGATAGTAACTACTTTTCTAACGGCCAAAATTACAACAGTAGATAAATTAATGTTTCACTTATTTGTCTCAATATAATAACGCGATAACGTATGTAAAAAATAATTTACTCATGGATTAGGAAAAATTGATTTCAGTCACTTTAGAATATAGCTTTTGTCATGGATAAATTTAAGAAATTCAAGGATTGATGTATAATAATGCTCGAGGCCGGATCAAGTCTACATACTAGCAAGTAGCTACAAGTTCATGTGCGCGCCTCTTTTTTTTTTTTTAACCCAAAGCATCTCCATAATCAACAGTATATAAGGTTAATCTTTTAAAAAATCTAAACGTCATTTAAGGAATATCTTATTAGTTTTAAATGCAAAAGCGTGAAGCTTCTGCGAAAAACGAAAACGCCCTGCCAGACATACCACAGTAAGAGGGCCATCTTCCTTCAGGCCCACCAGAATATTTAGAAGAAACAATGCTGGAAGGATCTTTTAAAACAAATAGATGATAACATATCAATCAAGTGGAGAGAACAATAATGTAAAAGAATCTAAATGAAGTGGGATTTCTGCATTTATACGAAACCCAAATATAAGCAGCCTTGGTCATGATTTACAAATAATATGGCTTCCTACAATTTTATAGACATATTGATGATAGTGATGATATTAATGATGAATGACTTTTCTAATTCTCCTTTCCTTAACATAGATGCAGCATAGGTGGAGGACAAAAGTAGGGCAGAAACAGAAACATACCATCACTTTAGATACCATAGAGCATCATAGTCAACCATTAAATAGGCACTTGCAGCAGGCATGAAAATTGGGTCAAGAAAGACCTGAGTTCTTGACATTCAAAATTTAGTTTGATAAAAAATATTGGGAGGCTTGAATGCAGGCAAAACTAATGGCCAAAGCTATAAAGCTGGCCACCAATTAAGAAAAGAAATTCCGTGAAGTTGAGCAAAATGAGCTGCTCAAATTTGCAGATCGCTCAGGAACTTTTGATGCATAATCAATTACAGCAATGTTAACTGCTTATATGGTTGTTGGCTCCCCCAAAGTTACGTGAAAAAAATGTATTCTGCCCTATAGTTATTTTGAAACAATAGGTAAAGAGATGAACTTCTGCCCTTGTACCTTTTATTCCTTGCTATTTTGAATGGTCAGGTCCCGAGGGTGAAAGTGATTTGAAAAACGAGGAACTCATCATGGTAAAGTAACTCTTACTTCCTTCCTGTCAACCCCAAATGCCTGCAATTCAGAAGAACCACCGTTTAACACTAATGCGCGCGCATACACAATTTAATTCAATTCTTATCTTTGATAGTAAGCCCCGGACATTACAATTCGTGATCCAAGTATTATTAACTTTATTTTCCTCAGCTTGAAGATAGCAGTCAGCACAGAACTGTGCCACACGTGCCAACGGCATTTTGTTTGTTGCTAGTTTAATCTCAAATTATGAATAGTCTTTTGAAGTGAATGAAAGAAAATTGATAAATGAGTAGGGATAAAATATGCACACCTCAGTCCCTAAACCACTAACATATACATTGGTGAATAATTCAGATGGATCCGGCAATGAACTCTCCTGAAGGTTACAAAAAGAACACAGAATTCAGATGTCAGACCACACAGCCCACAACAGGAGATGCCGAGACACAAATATATGGGATCTTTTAAGTTATTTATCAAAAAAAAAAGGGAGACAAAAGATAAAAGAATTAATAGCAAAGATATTCAGTTCACCTTTGCTTTAGCTATAGTTTCGTCAACTTCTTTTCTGACTTCCTTTTCAATGTCCTAATGAAGAAAAGCGCAAAAAACATCTTTAGCATAAAATTCCAATGTCTCATCATAATATGAATATAAATAAGATAAAGTAGACATTTTTCATGCAAATAATTCCTAGAATCAATGGGAAAAGAGAAAACATGGATTTTGGCAAAGATCTGAAAGAAAATCATAAAACCTGATTCATGATTAATGAACATGAAAATTTCACCTTACATATAGCAGCAGTAACGGTTATAGGTTCACAGCTTGTTTGGCCGAACTAGGAGGCTACTGCTTAATTTTCAGATTTTTTTTTTGGAGGAAGTTGTTTGGCCAAGTTTATGTTTCCCAAAAAAAAAAAAAAAACTGTCTCTTGGCAGAATCATTTTTTTCTACTGTGGAAAGAAAGCCGAAAATTGGAGCTTCTCCTTGAAAGTAGAAGAGCTGAATGTCTTACTTTTAAAGAACAAAAGAAAGAAAATACAAAAGCACCCTCTTAAACCCATGCTCTTTAAAGCAATATCAGAGTAGAATGTACTTCTTTTGAAAGATTTGCCAAACATAATAATATTGATAAAAGCACTTGTTGAATGATTTTTAATAAACACAAGTTGCTTCCTTCTTACAGTGTTTTTTTTTTGCAAAACTCTACTTGAAATGAAGCAGTTTCAAAATAATTAGACCATGGAAATTCCAAACGGGCCCTGTAAAATGATTGAACAGCAAAAGAAGACGACCACTGCACATTATAACCTAACAGGACTCCAATTTGATGAAACTATTGTAATATAAACAAATATCAGAAACAAAACAACCACATATAACTGATACAAACTTCACAAAATAAATTAGCTAGCAAATAAAAACAACTATTCAGATACTACATATTAAAATAAAGAACATAATTTTATTCTTCAACATATTTTCAACAAAAGGAACATGCCTCGTACAAATGGGTCAAATATGCCAAGATGAAATATAGAATACTTTTTTTTTTTTTTGGTTTATTGAAATATAGGATACTTATAAACTATGAAATATATCATATTTAGTAAATCAATGGATCAAGCATAAGTTTGAACTTCATTGGATAACCTTTAATTCCTTTTCAGCAGCAATCTCATGTTTCAATAACAGCTTTCTTACTCTCTCAATTGGATCACGTTCCTATAATCAAAACAACCAAGAGAATATCAAAGTTCAAAATAAGCTTAAAAAATTAATCTAGTAAGGATTTTTATGCTTGGGAGTCTGATAAACCTGTCTCACGCCAGAAACCTCATCACGTGTACGATATGTGCTGCCAGGATCAGACATGGAATGGCCATGGTACCTGTAGGTATCCAATTCAAGAACCTGAACAGAATAACCAAGAAGATATATAAATAAATCAAAATTAGGATTATAACATTTGATAGTTTGATTGGAATTCATCAACTTCTCTGCAAAACAGTTGTACATCGTCGGCATAATTAAACCCCACCTCCTTTTGAGGTTCTTCGGTGTAGAAAATGCCATGGTTGATTACTCCAGGTCTAGAAAATTAACTCAACTAATAGAAGATAAATGATCAATTTACAACATTCAACCACTTATAACTAACTATATGAAAGAGATTTAACATATAACAGCAATTATTTTTACTCACAATGGGCCCATTCTTCAAAGCATACTCCTTTGCAAATTTGCATGCCTGTTTTACAGCAAGAACATCCATGCCATCTACCTGTACAATTTTTAACAAGACTACAATGTATATTCAAATAACAACGACTATAAATGCAGAAAGGCTTGCATAAGTAAATGCACACTCCCTCAAATACTGCATACCAAAAATAAGCTCACTGAGGAACATATATATCCAACCATAACCAGCCACACACAACTACCATATCCAACATGGTTAGCCACGCCAGTGTGAAATTAGGTAAAATGTACAGAGAAGGATCAATGCATGACCTGATCATTCAGACTCTTCATGAGATGGTCAACTGCTAACTTGATAATTGTTAGTTTCAGAACAGGTTATCAGGACAAAAGTCAAAGATGCTATGGTTAAGGAAGAAAAACTCGAAATAAACAGTTGCCTGAAGGAATTTGTATTATTAGCTTACCTATTTACCTCCATGTTCAAAGCGTTTTAATCCAGAGAAAGCCAAACAAAGCACATTATTGTTAAGGCATTATTATTATTTATATCTTCAAAACTTGGCAAAACCACATCAGGACAAAGGTTCCACCATAATAGGATATGGAATGAAACTTCGCATTTCTAGAGTTATGAAAACAATTAAATCACTGAACTCAATTTCTCCTCCGACCCCAAAAAACGTAAGAAACAGGTTACCGGAAACTTGGACCATTACAACATCTACAACAAGCCTTGTCCTACAAGTTGGCAATCATGCAAACCTATTGGACCAATAACGTAAACCAATTCAGTCTACATTATGATTGCAGTTAGAACAATAAAGACATCGTCATTTCCAAGTTTAACTTTCCAAATTTTCGCTGCCAATCAACCAGGTCTAGATAAAAATCTGGCACCTTATTTGAGGTTAATCAGGGTGGACAGAAATTGCATTTCTCAATTACCAAAAACAAATGATTCGAAATGGACTTAAAAGTTACTTGAAAATGACGTTTCAACGTTATATCTGTGACTAATCAGAAAATTATTCAAACATTCCCGACTCATCCAACAGAAAATTGCAGCTTGAAGACTGCGAGACCATATATCATGTACATCGCAACGCTGCAATCAAATTTAACATGAATCTTTGATCTTACCTTCAATCCAGCAACATAATCACCACGCTTGTAATAAGCAGGATTCTTAGCAGCTCTCCACTCCGCCGTCCCCATCCCGTCTATTAAACAAATCAAATCAAATTAATACACAAAAGCCAAATTGAACATTGCCATACTTTTACCAATGAAACTACGTACAATGATTATTCTCGCAGACCAAAATGGCAGGGAGATCCCAGAGCGCGGCTATGTTTAACGCCTCGAACAACTGCCCCTGATTTGCCGCACCATCACCATACAAAGCGAAGGTCACATTTTCATCCTTAGAGTACTTCTGAGCAAAAGCTAATCCACACCCAAGCGGTATCTGAGCCCCAACGATCCCGTGACCGCCATAGAACCCAGCTTCCTTCCTATAGAAGTGCATAGAGCCACCCTTTCCCTTCGCACACCCATCTTGACGACCCATGAGCTCAGCATATACCTCTAGCAGGGTTCCACCGCGAGCCAGGAAGGTACAATGATCACGGTAAGATGTTATTATGCAATCCTTCTTCGTAATGGCAGCCTCCATGCCAGTGGCCACCGCTTCCTGGCCATCGTACAAGTGACAGAACCCTCGGATGAGCTTAGACTTATAAAGGGAATCGGCGGCTATCTCCATCCGCCGCATGATGGCCATGTCGCGGAAGAAGGACATGAGTTCCTTGGGAGTGGTGTCGACGGAGCGGGAGGGAGTGTCACAATTGTGGGCGGTGAATGGAAGAGAGGTCTCAATGGTAAGAGTAGAGGAGTCATCGGCCGAGGAGATAGAACGACGGAGAGAAGGGGCGGAGGAGAATGCAGAGGAGATGGGTCTAAGGAGATTAGATCTAGACGAAGAAGAAGAAGAAGCAAAGCGAGAGAGAGCCATAAGGATCTGTTAGACCCGCAAAGGAAGCCAAGAACACCAGAAACGTTCGTTCGGAGCTGCGGAGGAGAATATAGAGCGGTAGGTGAGGACTGAGATTGGAGGGAGGGAAGGTGAAGTAAAAGGCATGGAGACTCTTCAAAATGGGAATTCCTTTATTTAAAAAAAAGGAAAAAGAAAAATGAGAATTTCTAGTGTCGTTTTACAGCCGCCAGACGGCTGGAAAATGTCAAAACGGCGATTGGGTTCGACTTCAAGTTTTAATAATTAAACACAAAGAAAACTTGAGAGGGCTAACTCAATCGGCCCTCTAATCATTCTTTTTTGACAAAATAACTTAGGCCCAGCAATTGCTTTTAAAATTACTATTAGGATATATTTAAAAAATGACATGTTGATGTTGCAATAATGTCAAAAAAGAAAATCTCATACTACTCAAATGAATGCAAGCCTTAATTTATAGATATTAAAACGTGAACTTAGGCTAGTAAATAAGTTTAGAGGACAAAAGTACTCTCGCATACAATTGTGCGTGATTAGACGTGATATTAGGCAATTTTTCAAAATTTTAAAAAATTTTTTTAGAGATATAAAATTATTTGCATAAGATATTTTTTAAAAATTTTCCTTCCTTTTCGGATATATGAGAAATTGTTGGATATTTTAAAATATTTTGAGTATTTCAAAAGAAATTATTATAAATTAATAATATTTATTATTATTATTATTTTGTAACATATAATTTAAACAGTGTTATTATTTGAAATTATTTTTTAATTATGATTAAGGTGGTTTCATTGTATAACATTATGAGATTTATCTATAAAAGTCAGTACTTGCCATAAATTCAAAAAGAAAGCTTTTGTGCTCTTGACCTTTCTCTCTTCTTCTATCATACTAATTTACTATGCATTTACCTGAGTTTATCCTATAAATTTATGTTGTTTTGTGTCCTTACTTTTTGTAGGAAAAGTTTGTTTAATCATGAAAAGTTATCTCACGATCAATCCGATATGACAGAATAGCTCTTAAATATAGTATTCTTTAGCATAATTCAAATTATGATTTTATCCATTTTTGCTAACAGTTGATTGATTAAGTTAAGTAATAGATGAAACCTAGCATAGAAATTCAAGTCAATCTATCCAATTAAATTAATAAATTGTTGAATTAGTGTCTTGACCCCTTTACTAAAATACTTTATTTATAATCAATTTGATCACGATTCATTCACAATTTTAACCATTAATCTTTGATTTAATGTCTTAATTAATTTAATGACTGCTTCAATTTTTAGTAGGTTGGGATGAAATACATACAAGGTTAAGACAAGTGTTCTCAAATTGGCTCAAGTTATTTTTTATAGAAAGATAAAACCCAATATGTACCTCAATCAACAAAATTTAATGATCACTACATATCCCAAATAAAATATAGTTATTTTTTATTTTCATTTACAAATTAATTTTTATTATTTATTTTTTAGAAAGCACAACTATTGGTCTCTATAATTTTATTGAATGTTGCTTTTAATTCATATAATTTTTTAAATATTTTTAGTACCTATAAGAATTGAAAACATTAAAGCTATAATGACTTGAGCATCAAACATTACTTAATCCTACTTAAACTATAGAGAATGAAAGCATTAAAAAAAAAAAGGAACTAAGGCCATATTTGGTATGATTGAAGGATTTTTGATGGAATTAGAATTAGAATTGGAATCGAAATTAGAATTGGAATTGAAATAGAATTAGATTTGAAAGTGTGTTTGGTATGATGATAAAATCCTGATATAATTTTAATAAAATATATGTATTTAGAATAAGAAAAGACCAAATTGCCCTTTTTAAAATAAAAAAAAAACCTTATCCCCATCAGCCCAACAGCCCCATTCCTCTCCTTCTCAAAAGCATGACGTCACTGCCTCTTCCTTATCTGATAAGCATCCTCACCGCCATCTGTCATTGCTTTGTCCTCCCCCTCCTTTCTTCTTCTTCTTCTTCTTCTTCAGCAAGGACCCTTTCCCACGGTCTGTTGCTACCTTTTCATGGTTCATCATCGCTACTTCTTCTTCTTCTTGTTCTTCTTCTTTAGCAAAGACTCCTCCTATTGTTTGTCGCTACCTTCTTATGGTTCATCATCATTACTTTTTTCTCCTTCCTCGGCGACACTTAACTAAATAAGAAAATGAAGACTAAAGAAGAAGAGAGGAGATTGATGCAGATGATGATGTCCTTCGAGTAAGGTGACAACTATAACCGTTGTGTCATCCACTGTTGCTTGATTCTTCAACGTCATCCTCCAGGTTTAAGCATCACAACCCAAGACCTACCTACTTCATCTTCCTCATCCACCTCATACATTGCTAGATTCACACCCAGACCAAGAAGCAAGCGCTCGACATCATTGCTCATATAGCATCTATTTATGAATATTCAAGCCCAAACTAAGAGTGCCCACATAAAGAGAGTGTAACATCTTGATTTTTAATTCTTTAATTTTCTAAACTTAATTAAGGATAATTAAGTAGATTGATATAGTGTGTGGTCAGAGGAGAATAATAAGTACTTTTAGTTAAAATTTCAGGTATAATATACATTCAAAGTGAAATTGGGTCACTTAGGGACCAAAAAGTGGAGAAAAATAAGCTAAAAAACCTTTGTGTCACATGCTGCGGTGCATGCACAGTATGCTGTGGCACACAAGGCTATTAGGTGAGAATTTTCTTTCTTTGTACCACATGCCGCAGCGCATAAGGACATGCGTTATGGCACACAGTTTGAATTTTGCAAAAATAATGCACGATCTGATACAAAAAACAAAAGGAAAGAAAAGGAAAATGGAGGAGTCGCACATTTTCTCTACTAGGGCACGACCTAAGGGAGGATTTGAGAAAGTTTGAAGCTTTAAATCATCTAAAGTAAGATTTCTAAACCCTTTCTCTCCTTTCCCCTTCTATTTTTTCAAGGATTTGAATTAACGTTTGAATGAGGATGATAATTTTAGTCCACATAGGTTATAGGTTCGAACTCATCGAATCGAATAGAGTTAATAAAAGTAGATTAAAGTATCTAAACTTAATATAATGAATTTTTGGTGTTTTAGGTTGTTGGGCACTATTAATATCCAAAAATTTTATTAATTATGGGTGGTTGGAAGATTGTGATGCCATTAATGGGAATCCAATGGTTTATTAATGTTATTGAAGATTAAAGGTAATTAATAAACCTAAGAAATAGGCTTAAACTCTTGTGGAGTAAATATTGGACAATTTAAAAGCGGACATTAAGGGTTTAATGTTTGAGTTGGTAACGTTGATAAAATTCAACTTGGTTGATTGTAGTTTTGGCTCCTGGTCACCCATTTGGCTTGGAAATTCAAGCTTGAAAGCTAGTAAATTAAGGGATAAACCTTTAACCTCTCAAAAGTTTGAGGTAATTGGAGGAACCTTACTTTGGATAGTTATATATTAATTGATTATTAAATATAAATTGTGAATGTTACATGCATGGGATTGATTTTCAATATCAAATCATTTATTAGTTTCAATAAGTATATGAAAATTTGTATGTGCATAATGCTATTTTTGGCTTGAAATGTAAAATGTGAAGTCAAGAGGTTTTTCAAACTATGAACATGCTTATGTTTTTAGAAAATTGAATGTGATTTTGTGTAGAGGTAATTGTGTGACAATGAGAAGTAGATTTTGAGATAAGTGAGAATAATATTGAAAAAATAATGAGGATACATATTTGGGTAGTGCACAGTTGTGAGTCCAACTAGATTGTTGTGATAATGAGTAAATGAGAATAAGAATGTGAAAATGAGTGAATACTATTTATGGCATAATCAATGGGTAAGAGTTCACCTAGGGATTAAGAGTGAAGAAAATTTATATGGTATTTAAGCTGCCTTTCTGTGCATAGGGGTATAGTCTTGTCTCACAGTTTGTCGAGAGACTGTCCTATAGTTTGTCGAGGGATTGAAACCTAGCTATCTCAATGAGGAGAATAGCCTAGAGTATGAGACACCTCAAAGATTCAAGAATAGGGAAAGCTATGGTCTGAGAGTGAGTCATGTGATCTTTGGTCGGGTTACACCTCACGATTGGTGAGCTTAGGTGCTCCAGTCACATGGATGAAGCCTTAATAAGTATTATAGTCTACGGTTTCGGTCTAAGAAAATAAGGAGGATATAAGATTGGTTTATCATTGCCTAAATAAGTATATGACGTGTCATATGTGTTAAGTTGTGGCAAGTCACACGAATAATAGGTTATGGTCACATATCCGAGAATATGGTGACAACGCACCTAGTATATGTGAGATAAAGAAGCTATTAATTAAGAAATGATGAGTTATGATATGTGTAAGTATGTATTAAGTGCTTGGTTTTATATGCATATGCTTGGCGTATAATTAATATATAACTGTATAGGATAAGTTTTATCTTACTTATTTAGTAGCTAGACTCACCCTTTTTATTTAACACTTTTTCAGGCTCTAGCTTTAATATTGAGAGGGGAAAGACTCAGGAGACCAGGGATTAGCATATTCCTACTATAAGCCTTTAATTTAGATTTATTTTATGTAATAGTATATGATACCAATTCTAGGTTGCATTCCATTACACTTGCACCATTTTATTGTGGCAAACATCTGAGTTGTATTTTAGGCCTTGAGAATTTGTGTATGATTTTATAATATGTTGATAGGGCTAAAATATTAGTGCAAGTGTAAAAGTGATAATTTGAATATATTTTGATTGATTTAGGTGCAATGCAGTGGAAAATTTACCTCCCCCTCTTTCTGGTAAAAAAAAGTTGAGGAGTGAATTTTGATTATATTATGGTTTAAGTGTGTGTGACGTATTGTACTAGTAGTTTTAAGTCTAAAGGACATGGTCTAGGTGTTAAGATAGGCTTTTGGCATATGTTGAAAGTTTTGAACACCCATTTTGAGTGAAAGTTATGAAAAGTGGTTAACATACGTCTAGGTGTCTAACTTCCTGGTGTGATTTGTTTTAGAAGTTAAACTTATGCTATTAGCTAGTTCATGCAAAGAGCTTTCCGTAGACTCCTAGATCACATCATTCGGATGTTGGAAGGAAAATCGAGG